AAAAGTATTTTAATGTAGTACCAGCTTACAGATATACATATTCAATTTTGCTGTCGAAATGATCCATCGAACTATGGACTAGTTAGTGAAAATTCGGGAGCAGGAGTGCTTCCAAGCCTGGGCTGATGCGTCAGCGTCCCGGGATGTAAACACCAGCGCTCTAAAAAAGAAGTATAATTCCGCCTCTAGGTCCTTCAAAAGAGTCATTGTCAAGGCAAATTCAGAGCACATAGGCATAATTGGCGAGAAACTAGTTCGCCTTCCTTCTGGATCCCGTGCATTCTGGTCTCTCGCTAAGGCTGTCCAGGGGAATTTCTGTCAGCCATCTCTTCCATCTCTGCACAGGGAGGACGACTCACTGGCCCATACCGCAAAGGAGAAAGCCGATCTTCTAGGCTCTTTCTTTGCGTCTAACTCGACTCTCGACGGGGGGAGTACGCCGCCGACCATCCTGCGGTGTGAGTGCTCCATGCCGGAAGTGCACTTCACACAGCGCTCGGTTCGCAAAGCACTCCTCTCCCTGAACATCCACAAGTCGAGTGGGCCTGACGGAATCCCCCCAATTGTGCTGAGGACGTGTGCTCCAGAGTTGGCACCGGTTTTAACGCGTCTTTTCCGGTACTCCTACTCCCTAGGCGTAGTCCCAAAATCATGGAAGACGGCTTACGTTCACCTGATCCCTAAAAAAGGCGACCGCTCAGACCCGTCCAACCACCGGCCAATCGCCATCACCTCCTTATTCTCCAAAACAATGGAGTCCATTTTAAACTGCCAGCTCATGAGGTACCTTGAAGATCACCAGCTGATTAGTGACCGCCAATACGGTTTTCGCCGTGGTCGGTCAGCTGGTGATCTTCTGGTCTACCTAACTCACAGATGGGCGGAGGCAGTAGAGTTCAAGGGGGAGGCATTGGCCGTTAGTTTGGACATTGCGAAGGCCTTCGATCGGGTTTGGCACAAAGCGCTTCTTTCGAAGCTCCCTTCCTATGGGCTTCCTGAGAAATTGTGCGATTGGATCACCAGCTTTCTTGTAGATCGGAGCATCAATGTCGTTGTAGACGGTGCAAGCTCCGATTGCAAGCCTATTAATAGATTCATAGATTCATAGATTCATAACTTTTATTTGCATCAAACATGGTAAATACAGGTGTTAATTACATACACTTTAGGCCAAACATGTTTCACCCCTTATATAGAGGTATACAAATATCAAATTTAATTATGTGGCTAATTCATTTGCTCATTATTAAGTTATTAATTCCAAAATATTGAAAGTACATAGAAATTAAAATTTATATATAATTACTCATTAGATTATTATTAGTTGTTAGTAAATATAATAGTAATGTCAGACAATTATTAATTATTACCAAATATGATAGAATGTCAAATAATTGTTAATTATTATTAAACAAAATAAAAATGTCAATGTGAAATCGTAGTGGTTCATTTGTCAAATTTATAATCTAGGAATTCTTTGACGCTATAAAAAGTTCTTTCTACAAGAAGATCATAGAGGCCTTTTCTAAATCTTGAGAAAGATAGTGCTTTAATATGCTGAGGAATTTTATTATATATTTTGACACACATGTATAGACAGCTTTTATTATATTTAGATAATCTAGGAAGTGTGTCAATTACAAGCTTTTCAGGGTATCTGTTGCTTCGAGAAGATATATTTTTTGCTTTAGTAAACAGATAGTTGTGTTGTTTGACGAACAAACATATTTCGTATATGTAGAGCGAGGGCAATGTCAATAACTTAAGCTTTTTGAATAAAGGTCTACATGAATCAAATGGCGCTTTTAGAGTTAGTGCACGTAAACATTTTTTTTGAGTAATAAAAGCTTTATTTAACTGAGAACCATTTCCCCAGATAATTAGCATGTAACGCAGAATAGAAACTACATAAGCGTGATACACTGACAGGGCAGTATTTATGTTCGTGACTTTTCTAATATACCTTAAAGCATATACAAATTTATTTATTCTATCACACACTGATTTAATATGAGACTCCCAGTTAAGGTTTCTGTCAATTATTAAGCCAAGAAATTTTGTTTGCGTCATTTCTTCGATTTTGGTTTCGTTGTGATATATGTCAAGCTTATTAGTTTTCAAGTTGTCAAATTTAATGTAGTGAGTTTTGCTGAGATTTACTTTTAAATTATTTAAATTTAACCATTCTATTACTGATTTTATAGCGTCATTTATGTCAGATTCATGTTTTGTGAATGAGTGTTTGTTTGGGTTAGTACTAATTGTTATTGCAATATCGTCCGCAAACATAGTGCATTTGAATTTAGTTACATTTTGAATGTCATTTATATATAAAATAAAAAGCAAAGGCCCAAGAATGCTTCCTTGTGGGACGCCAAAATAGTTGTTCCTAAAATCTGAATAATAAGAAGTCAGTTCATTCTGGTTATTAAGGCTTTTGATTTCGACTTTTTGTCTTCTGTTTGTCAAATATGACTCAAGCCACTGCAAAGGAATCCCTCGAATGCCCATATTTTCCAATTTTTTAAGAAGATTTTTATGGTCAACGTAGTCGAAAGCTTTACTTAGGTCAAAAAACAATACAGTGGTTAGATATAAACTATTTACACTTACTAAGATAGATTTAATTAATGTATAAGTGGCCAAAGAAGTAGATTTGTTTTTCTGAAAACCAAATTGGTGTGGACTGATTATACTAATCTTATTACAGTATTCAGTAAGACGCAAAAACATACACTTTTCGAATATTTTGGAAAAAATTGATATTAATGCAATGGGTCTGTAATTATTGAGGTCATCTTTTTCGCCTTTCTTATACAATGGTTTAATTATTGTTACTTTAAGCTTTTCTGGGAAAGTACCTGTTGAAAAAGATGAGTTTATAAGATGTGTAAGTATTTTTATAAAACTATCGATGGAAATTTTAATAATATTGGTACATATTCCATCGTAACCAGTTGCATTTGAGTTCTTAAGAGATATGACTGCATTTCTGACTTCTTTTTCTGACATTTCTCTTAGAAACATTGACGTGAGCTGTGTAGAATTAGTTTTTGTTATTTTATTACTAGCGTCATTGTTGTGGGTCATGTTAATAAAAAAAGTTGTTAAATTTATTTGCTATATCGGTTGAGTCAGTTAAAATTGTATTGTTATCTTTTATATTAATAATGTTAATATTTTTTGTTTTATTACCTATTTCATTATTTACAATTGTCCACGAGGCTTTACATTTATTTCTGCTAGTGTTAATTAAATATGTATTTCTAATTTTTTTTTGACGTGTAAATACATTTTTTCAAAATTTTTGAATAACTTGTGTAAATACGTTTACTAAAGATGTCTTTGTTTATATAATGTTTATATCTAAGTAATCTTTTCCGTTTACAACTAATCCTTAGTCCTTTGCTTATCCATTTAGCTTTATTGTATGTGTTTTTTAGTTTTATTTTCATTTGCGGGAAACAGAGATTGTAGAATAGAAGAAATAAGTCATGGAATTTTTCAAATGCTCTATTTGTATTGGTTTCTTCTAAAATATCACTAAATGTAAGACAGCCAATGTAGAAAAAATTAAATTTTTCTACATTTTCAGAGCAGTAATCTCTTTTATAAACGAAATAGGATCTTGGGTTTTGTTTTACAGATTTTACCGGTATTTTCAACATTTGGGCAGTGTTGTGATCTGATAAACAAAGCGGTAATATGACTGGTATTGCTGTTTTAATATTACTTAACATGTGATCAATACAAGACGATTTTCGGGTAGGCTCTTTAATACGCATCGTTAAGTTATAATTTAGTGCTATATCATTTAACATAATTGTAAATTTGCCAGATTTCAACGTGTTTATATTGAAGTCCCCTGTCAACACAATTTTCTTTTTTATGTCCATATTTTTTTATAAAGGATACTAAGCAGGCAATTTAACTTGTTCAAAAAATAATTAACATCACTTCTAGGGGTTCTATATAGGTTTATAATAATAAGGTTATTTCCTGAAATTTCAATGCCGCAACACTCAAAATGTTTTTCTATACCGTATTCATTTAAAAACAATATTTTATGAAAAAGCAAATTTTTTTTTACTAGGATGCAAGTTCCACCTCTTTTTTTCAAATCTACAAAAACTTGCCCCTAATGTATAGTTATTTAATTTAAAGAAATTTTCCGCTCCCTTTTCTATGAACGTCTCCGATAAACAAATAATATCTGGTTCGTTATTTTTCTTCGCGAGTTCTAATATAGTAATTTCCAAAATTTCTTTTTTTAGCTGTTGCACTTGCTATGTTTTGATGTAGGATATTTAAGTATTTACTTGAGGTCCTATTAAACTGAGGCACGAAAAAAATCACTCTTCTTTTTAAGTGGAAAGTAAAAAGGTATGGTACCTTTTTGTTTTGACGTACTATTCGCGGTTGGTTGGACTGGCTCGTTGCATGATTCGCGTACGCTTATTATTTTCTCCTTAATATATGTTTCATTCCAGCGTCTGATTGCCTCTACGTTTTCAAGGATATCGTTAAATATTATTTTTGTGCCATAGTTATTCACATTGCCTGTGTACATATCAAACATTGTAAAATCGTATCTAAGGTGCAAGTTTGAGTCTACGACATAGGCGTATTCGTGTTTTACATTGTCTTTGTGAAGCAAATTATTGAAAGATTCAATCCTCCAGTTTAATAAGTTAGAATACTTTTTATACCTATATGTTGGCAAACAAATAAGAACATTAGTGTGTGAGATTTTATATAATATTTTTCTTATATAATTTACTAAAAAGCGACAATTAATTGATCTTTCGAAATCATTGCTTCCTAAAAGTATAACACAGTAATCTTTCATTGTAAATTTTTTTTAATTTTAAATCTATGTTTGACAACAACTCCTCTATCCCAGAACCAGGCTTACAATAATGGCAGAAACTATAATTATGAAATTTGATTTTTATATGTGATAATATATTATTGTTGTTATCACAACTAAGAACACATACTTTGTTTTTCGGACTAGGTGTGTAAGATAATGGAACCATAGTCTCCATTTCTTCCTTCCTCTGGTCTACATTGGGTGTACACATGTGTAAGTGTTCTAGGTTTCCTGATAACGTTGATTTTATTGAACTAAATGGTACATTATTTGGTAGCGAACATAACTCTTTTACATTAATTAATTTAATATAGTTTCGCAGAGAATTCAATTCTATTAAAGTTTTTTCCAGTTTAGTCTCTAGATAAGAAATTTTATTTTTTAAAGTTGCTGTTAGCTGCTCCTTAGCGGGACTTGCGTTAGGGGTACTATTTAATATTTTATAATTTTTTTTATGTTTATGACTTGGTGTCGGTGAATTTCCAAACTTGATAAGACTAGCGTTTTTCCTTCTGCATGTTTGTAGTTCTTCTTTTAGCTTTATGTTTTCCGACAGTAACTCTTCAAGTTCATTTTCAGTAATTTGGAGTTGTTTTTGCATTTCAGTCAATTGTAATTTATGTTCTTCTAATTCCTGGTACACATTTGTATTTAAGTTAGGGCAGCTCCGGTTTAACAAAGTGGCTGATAGCGATGTTCCTTCGTCGTCATCCGGTAGAGAGGCAAAAGAGTTTTCGGTGGTGACATTTATGTGATATTTTTTCCTTTCGGTAATGTGTTCCATGTTTTCAGAGAGTACAGTAGAGTTTGATGTATCATAAATACAAGTACTAACTTTTTGGGAAATGTCGCTGTTAGGTTCCGAAAAACTTGTGTGATTTCTGCACTTTTTGCACTTCCATTTACATCGTATTGTAGGCTTCATCATCCGATAGACTTTTTCGGGATAGCCCTCACAGTCAAATTCGAACGAGTGCTTGCATATTGAACATTGCATAGTGTCTCTTGAATCTACATATTTTTTGCATATATGGCATTTCACTAGGAGCTTATTTCTGTTGGAAACATTCTCTTTTGATGACATTTGCGCCATCTAGAAGGGATTCTCACAGAAACTCTGTATAACACTGTAAATAGTGACCTCTAGCGGATAATGCGAAAACTTTCTCTCAATTAACTCAGACAATTATATTAGAAAAACGAGTCGCATGCGCAGTAGTGGACACAAGAAGTTCACTAAGTATTAAAGAGATGTCGCTACGTGAGTATGTCTGATGTAAACAAGGTACCGTACATTATGAATCAACAATCAATGTTATGATCCGTTAAATATTGCAATTTAAAATTAGGCACAGATTCACTTTAAGTTTAATAATTTTTCGATAATTACTTCAATAAGCACTTCACATTTATTGTTTATAGTAAATATTTTGTTAGGAAATATTATTATTTGAAAAGATATATGCTGTTTATTTTAAAAGTCAAATATTGTCACTTAACACCATTAGATTTCGGCACAACCATTTTTACACAATATTTGTATCCAATGTAACACTTTTATCACGATTTTAAGTCTATATACGTAAATTTCGAATTTTTTAAATTAAAATAGCACAGAGCCGATGTTGACAACCTTGCGCCCTCTATGGGACCATTCCCTGAAAGGCCCTGGAGATTGCCAGGGCCTTTGAGTATTTTCCCTGGAACTGGCGCTGAACGTGACAGCATGCTATCACACACGCACAAAATTAGCGTCTCTACTCTATAAGGCAATCGCACACAAAGACAGCATGGAGCCGAGGAAGCGCGCGAACATAGATCCTTCCTCAGCTAGCACTTGTGCGATACTCTAATGCTGGTGTTCCACAGGGCTGCGTGCTATCGCCAACGCTGTTTCTTCTGCATATCAATGATATGTTCCAAACCCGTAACATTCGTTGCTATGCAGATGACAGCACTGGTGATGCTCTTTACACCGGTTGAGTCAATATTTCTCGGGAAAACGTCTCCGAGTGCCGGGACAAACTTGTGTCTGAAGTCGAGTCTTTGCTGAACAGAGTCTCGGATTGGGGGCGACTAAATCTAGTCCAGTTTAACCCCCAGAAGACACAAGTTTGCGCGTTAACCGCTAAAAAGAACCCCTTTGTCGTATCTCCTCAGTTTCAAAGCACTCCCCTTGTTGCCTCAGCCAGTATCGGAATCCTCGGCGTCGACATATCTAGTGACGTGCAGTTTCGTGGTCACTTGGAAGGGAAGGCCAAATTGGCCTCTAAAAAGCTTGGCGTGCTCAGCAGAGCGGGACAGTATTTCATGCCGGCACACCGCCTGCAACTTTACAAGGCGCAGGTTCGGCCGCACATGGAATACTGTTCCCATTTCTGGGCTGGGGCTCCCCAGTACCAGCTCCTTCCACTTGACCGCATCCAGCGCAGAGCGGCTCGAATCGTCGACGACCGAGTGCTTTCTGATCGGCTCGATTTACTGGAGCTGCGAAGAGATGTTGCATCTCTTTGCGTATTTTATCGCATCTATCACGGGGAGTGCTCTGAGGAATTGTTCGGATTAATCCCAGCCGCCAAATTTCGTGAACGCACTACACGGCAAACGTCCCGATACCATCCATACCATCGGGATGCTTGGCGGTCCACCACAGTACGTTTCACAAGGAGTTTTCTTCCGCGTACGACCTCTCTGTGGAATAGTTTACCGCCGGCGATTTTCCGGACCGATACGACCTGGGGACCTTCAAGAAAAGAGCTTACTCCTTTCTAAAGGGCCGGCAACGCACCCGCAATTCTCCTGGTGTTGCGGTTGATCATGGGCGGCGGTAGTCACTTAACATCAGGTGAGCCGCATGCTCGTTTGCCCCTTCTTCTATAAAAAAAAAAATCCACAACAAATAGATTGCATCAAGAAAAATAGCAAAATGAGTGTTGAAACCAGCGATTATATTATTGTTAATATTCAACCAGAATAGGAGATAAAAGTCAATGCGGATAGAATTTTAAGTTGTTTTTGTCGACCCGACATTTTTTGCGGCGAAAACAACTAAAATATTTTGTTCCCTAAACTATTCGCCGCGTCTGCCGCCCGACTCCGTGGCTTGCACACCGTACTGATTCATAAATTTGTTTCATTCGCCCGCCGCGCCGCCAGTTGCCCGCGCGATTCGCCCGGTAAATTTCGCCGGTGGCGTCGCCACTCACCGCTACGCGTAGCCTGGTACATATATTTCTATACATTTGTTTTAGTCGCTAGACGCCTCGCTGTTCGCGCCGCGCGAATTTTCGCTACGGTGAATGTCCCGTGCCCAGGCTGTCAGAGTGATAAACCTCCCACAACTATTCGGCATCTCTTTTTAATAAAGATCGCAACACATTAACACATTCAAAATAGTTTTAAATGAATTTGAAAAAATAATTTACCATTTCTAAAAACCGTTCTACGGACTTTTGATTCGTTAAATAGGCCATGTTCAATGTAGCCTTTACCTTTGCATCGCGGCTTTCATTCCATTCACATCAAATTTGTGACCTCAATAGGTTATTTCAGGAACACTAAATTTACATTTGTTGGAGTTAAATTTTATACCTATATCTTGGGCACGCTTTAAGAATTTCTAACCGTTAATCATGTTGATGCTGAGTGGACCCGTACACGATGACGTCGTCGATGAATGATTCGACGTGTTCGAGGTGTTCTAAGTATTTTCTGAGCTTTGAATGAAAAATTTCAGGCACACAACTTATGCTAAAGGGTATGCGCAAAGATTGGTACTTATGGAAGGGCGTACAAACGTACAAAGGTCAACACTACCAACATCAATAGCAAGCAGCAGCCAACACTCGCGGCGGGCGCGCGGGCCGCGCGGCGAGCACTGCGCGCCGCAATGCGCGCCGCACTGCTCGGTTCAGCGCTCTACGCTCTAGACCAACACGAATGCTATCGTTTTTTAACCAATAAAACAATTGCGTTTACCCACTCTGTCGGATGTCTGACCTTTCTAACAACATCGACACGTTCCATTCGTTTTAATTCCATTATATAACTTGTCTTTCATATATCTAAAAGTATTTTCCTAGTAAAAGTAAAAGAAATAACGGGTGGAACCTTTATCCACTACAATAGTGTGATTGCCAGATTCACAAAATTAATCTTGAAATAAATACTCCCTGGTACGAAATTTCTGAGTACGTCCCCTTATATCCCACAACAAGCGTAAGGTAGCTAAACTACATTGCAACATCGATATGGAACGATGCGAGTAGTTTTACTATTTACCGGTAGATGGAAAATAGTTAAGTGGGCGGCGCTTTATACCCTCTCACCCCGCAAATTGTCACGCGTTGTTACATAGTGAAATCTAATTATAACACCTCCTCTTTATATTTGCTCCGTGATTACACCCCTCGTAATACAACTTTCCAATTCGAATACACTGACAACATATATAGATGACAATAAATGGCAAACAAATGTTTTGCTATTACAAACAACGTTTAGTTTTATAACACCTAAGACAGATAAGCTGTTTCTTGTGAAGGAATATATCCTCTTTGAAAACGAGCAAAGTTGTTTAATCGTTAAGCCAACACGTAAATATTCACTCTTCGCAATAAAGATTCATCATAAACATCTATTTTAATTAAAAGTTTTTTGATAAATTATTTTTAGTCGACTTACCGCATTTTTGCCCTCGTTTACGGTACCAACACAGAACATCTCCGAGTCACTTTCATTTTTCACAGTCAAAACTCAAATTATGTGCCTTTTCCACCGCATCCTTTTGTTAAGACAACCGTGAAAAATGACATTTTTATAAGACGCATGCATACATTACTCAACGTGCCAGGCACCGGTCCCCAGCGCCGCGCGCCGTGAACTGCACGCACCCGAGCGCTCTCCACCTCGTTGCCGTCGATGATACGCACACTTTTTTCCCCACAAATTTCTGCCACTTGACAAATTTCTATCGCTTTCAATAACGTCAAATTCTTGGTACGAAGTAAACGATCCCTAACTGTGTTATTCACTATTACACACAAACGATTTCATCTCACAGCAGGCTCTCATACAAATCAACCGAAGGCATATTACCGTCCAGCAACTTGTACACAACACACACCTGCATGACGAGGTGGCGTGCCGACTGTCCGGAGATGGAAAGCGACTCCTGCTGCAGCGTGTCGGGCGAGCTGTCCAGCAACTTGTACACAACACAACCACAACACACACCTGCATGACGCGAGGTGGCGTGCCGACTGTCCGGAGATGGAGAGCGACTCCTGCTGCAGCGTGTCGGGCGAGCTGTCCAGCAACTTGTACACAACACAACCACAACACACACCTGCATGACGAGGTGGCGTGCCGACTGTCCGGAGATGGAAAGCGACTCCTGCTGCAGCGTGTCGGGCGAGCTGTCCAGCAACTTGTACACAACACAACCACAACACACACCTGCATGACGCGAGGTGGCGTGCCGACTGTCCGGAGATGGAGAGCGACTCCTGCTGCAGCGTGTCGGGCGAGCTGTCCAGCAACTTGTACACAACACAACCACAACACACACCTGCATGACGAGGTGGCGTGCCGACTGTCCGGAGATGGAAAGCGACTCCTGCTGCAGCGTGTCGGGCGAGCTGTCCAGCAACTTGTACACAACACAACCACAACACACACCTGCATGACGAGGTGGCGTGCCGACTGTCCGGAGATGGAGAGCGACTCCTGCTGCTGCAGCGTGTCGGGCGAGCTGTCCAGCAACTTGTACACAACACAACCACAACACACACCTGCATGACGCGAGGTGGCGTGCCGACTGTCCGGAGATGGAGAGCGACTCCTGCTGCAGCGTGTCGGGCGAGCTGTCCAGCAACTTGTACACAACACAACCACAACACACACCTGCATGACGCGAGGTGGCGTGCCGACTGTCCGGAGATGGAGAGCGACTCCTGCTGCAGCGTGTCGGGCGAGCTGTCCAGCAACTTGTACACAACACAACCACAACACACACCTGCATGACGAGGTGGCGTGCCGACTGTCCGGAGATGGAAAGCGACTCCTGCTGCAGCGTGTCGGGCGAGCTGTCCAGCAACTTGTACACAACACAACCACAACACACACCTGCATGACGAGGTGGCGTGCCGACTGTCCGGAGATGGAAAGCGACTCCTGCTGCAGCGTGTCGGGCGAGCTGTCCAGCAACTTGTACACAACACAACCACACACACACCTGCATGACGCGAGGTGGCGTGCCGACTGTCCGGAGATGGAGAGCGACTCCTGCTGCAGCGTGTCGGGCGAGCTGTCCAGCAACTTGTACCACAACACCACAACAACACACCTGCATGACGAGGTGGCGTGCCGACTGTCCGGAGATGGAAAGCGACTCCTGCTGCAGCGTGTCGGGCGAGCTGTCCAGCAACTTGTACACAACACAACCACAACACACACCTGCATGACGAGGTGGCGTGCCGACTGTCCGGAGATGGAAAGCGACTCCTGCTGCAGCGTGTCGGGCGAGCTGTCCAGCAACTTGTACACAACACAACCACAACACACACCTGCATGACGAGGTGGCGTGCCTGACTGTCCGGAGATGGAGAGCGACTCCTGCTGCAGCGTGTCGGGCGAGCTGTCCAGCAACTTGTACACAACACAACCACAACACACACCTGCATGACGAGGTGGCGTGCCGACTGTCCGGAGATGGAAAGCGACTCCTGCTGCAGCGTGTCGGGCGAGCTGTCCAGCAACTTGTACACAACACAACCACAACACACACCTGCATGACGAGGTGGCGTGCCGACTGTCCGGAGATGGAAAGCGACTCCTGCGTGCAGCGTGTCGGGCGAGCTGTCCAGCAACTTGTACACAACACAACCACAACACACACCTGCATGACGCGAGGTGGCGTGCCGACTGTCCGGAGATGGAGAGCGACTCCTGCTGCAGCGTGTCGGGCGAGCTGTCCAGCAACTTGTACACAACACAACCACAACACACACCTGCATGACGCGAGGTGGCGTGCCGACTGTCCGGAGATGGAGAGCGACTCCTGCTGCAGCGTGTCGGGCGAGCTGTCCAGCAACTTGTACACAACACAACCACAACACACACCTGCATGACGAGGTGGCGTGCCGACTGTCCGGAGATGGAAAGCGACTCCTGCTGCAGCGTGTCGGGCGAGCTGTCCAGCAACTTGTACACAACACAACCACAACACACACCTGCATGACGAGGTGGCGTGCCGACTGTCCGGAGATGGAGAGCGACTCCTGCTGCAGCGTGTCGGGCGAGCTGTCCAGCAACTTGTACACAACACAACCACAACACACACCTGCATGACGAGGTGGCGTGCCGACTGTCCGGAGATGGAGAGCGACTCCTGCTGCAGCGTGTCGGGCGAGCTGTCCAGCAACTTGTACACAATACAACCACAACACACACCTGCATGACGAGGTGGCGTGCCGACTGTCCGGAGATGGAGAGCGACTCCTGCTGCTGCAGCGTGTCGGGCGAGCTGTCCAGCAACTTGTACACAACACAACCACAACACACACCTGCATGACGAGGTGGCGTGCCGACTGTCCGGAGATGGAAAGCGACTCCTGCTGCAGCGTGTCGGGCGAGCTGTCCAGCAACTTGTACACAACACAACCACAACACACACCTGCATGACGAGGTGGCGTGCCGACTGTCCGGAGATGGAAAGCGACTCCTGCTGCAGCGTGTCGGGCGAGCTGTCCAGCAACTTGTACACAACACAACCACAACACACACCTGCATGACGAGGTGGCGTGCCGACTGTCCGGAGATGGAGAGCGACTCCTGCTGCTGCAGCGTGTCGGGCGAGCTGTCCAGCAACTTGTACACAACACAACCACAACACACACCTGCATGACGAGGTGGCGTGCCGACTGTCCGGAGATGGAGAGCGACTCCTGCTGCTGCAGCGTGTCGGGCGAGCTGTCCAGCAACTTGCGCTGCAGCGCCGCCTGCTGGCCGCCGCCGTCGTTCGCATTTGCTTTCACCTCGCTCGCTTGGAACTGAAAGAAAGAAAGAACAAATAAAGAAAGTAAGAAAGGAACATTTATTTGACTAACACACAACATTAAGAAACAGACATCCATAGTACAAATTACAAATTGGTAACCATGCTGTTGTGTAATGACAAAGAGGATCCCGCGTCAGTGGCAATCCATTCATAGAAGGCAAACATTGTCTTTGCAAGCGTAGTGCAGATCTGCGCTCAACAACCAGCCATCAATCAAGCAGGCTGGTTGTTGAACTACCGTGCTGATTCGATTCGAAATTCAGCGAGGCCCTTTCAGATGCCGTAAAACGGTTTTCGATCGACAATCGAGATTGTTTCGTGAGTAGAAGAGCTGATTAGATTAAAGAATTAATCAGAACGAACTCATCCGAAGGGCTCTTGTCTCCATAAATATCCCCTCGGTTTTAGAGCCTAGCGGGATATTTAGAGACGATGGCAAAAGACCCGACGGTATGACTTTGGTCCCTTGGAGAGAGGTAAAGCCCTAGTGTGGGATGCTACGTAACACTTTGGCGGCCTCTCATCTCAAGGGTACCTCTTCTAGAGCCGGGGCGGCATCAGAGGCAGCCGAATTTAGTAAATGGCGCAAATATGAGTCTTTGAGAAATGACTACATATTTGTGCCATTTGCTGTAGACTATCGCTCCGTGGGGTCCACGTGCATTGAAGTTTCTAAAGGAACTGTATCCACGGCTGGTCATCGCTGCTGGTAATAAGACCGCTGGTTCTTTCTTCGCTCAAAGGCTAAGTATAGCTATTCAGCGAGGAAACACAGCCTTTTTGACTATTTAAATTTTTAGTGTTATTTTTTCTATATTAGTTTAATATTTAAAAAAAAAACACCTGCAATATTAAAAAAAAAAACAATTTTTGAAGTTTTTCTAGAATGTACCGTGCCTGTTTGATCTGAATTTAGCGAGGCTCTTTCAGATGCCGGAAACCGCTTTTTGATCGGACACTCTGTTACAAAGTTATGAGATATTTAAATATGTACACACACATACACACACGCACACGCACACCCACACTCACACGCACACACACACATACACACACACACACACACACACACATGCTCAAACGCACGCACGCTCGCTAGCACGCAAGCACAAACGCCAGCACGCTCGCACGCATGCACGGTTGCACGCACGCACGCACGCACGCTAGCAAGTTCGCTCGCACGCACGCACGCTCGCACGCAAGCATGCACGCACGCACGCTAGCACGCTCGGACGCACGCACGATCACACGCACGCACGTACGCACGCTAGCACGCACGCACGCTCGCACGCACGCTAGCACGCACGTACACTAGCACGCTCGCACGCACGCATGCGCGCGCCACAATTATAAAGATATTTACTATAGAGAATTCGAAGAGAAGGCAGAGGCTATTGATGACTTGAAATCATGCAAGCGATTAAGAATGTAAGTTTCTTAATAAATTAAAAAATATAATTATTTGTTTTAGTATTATTTTTTTTTTATTTATTTATTTAACGTAACAAATCACACAATTACAGTTTTACAGTCTGCCAAACTGCTGAGCAGTTTGGCAGACTGTAAAAATGCTCTCTTACTTTCTAAAATGCAAAAGATAAAGTAGATAAAAAAAACTAGCTTAATACAATTATACTACCACTAATATGACAAACCAATAGTAATAATATAACATTAATCAGTAATTTAAAGGGTAACGGCATTTTCCATATATGCATAAATTTTGCATGTACGCGTACACATATACATACAAACATGCATACAAATATATGCATACATAATTATTACCACTTACCTATGATGTTGTACAATAGATCGTCATGATTACATTCCATTTTTACTCTTTATTAGTATAAAGATATTTTAACTTGTTTTTAAACTGTTGTTTTGATTTATGCGTAAGGTATTGTTGCGGTAAATTGTTAAAATTTTTTGTTATTAAATGTTGGAACGTTCTTTTACCATAATAATTAGTACATTTATATTGTAAAGTTATTAATATATGCGGTCTGCGGGTATTCTTATTTATCGGGATAAAATTACGCAATGCGTCACATAAGATTGCATAATACTTTTCACATGTCGCAAATGATATTTTAAATTGCTCATGTATCGGTATTAAATTACACTCCTGGAAGAGCTGCTCATAATTATCCCTATATTTTATTTTAGCTTTTGGGTTCACTAATATTTTCATAAATCTAATTTGAAACTGCTTTAATTTATCTAAATATGTTTAAATGTCCTTCCATATGCGTAATATACAACATACAGTACAGTTTTAGGTGTTACTTTTTTCAATGAATAGAATTTACTTAAAATACCTCTTAATTTACTACACACCTGTTCTATATGGCTACCCCAGTTCATATTTCTATCTATTGTTAAGCCAAGTATTTAATTTCTTTTACAAATTCTATAACTGTACATTCACATTTAAACATATTATCGTGTATACATTGATAAGAGTGACCTACTACGACGACGACCTACTACACTATCCTGAATTTATTTTTGCATTCTTTATATTATGCGGTGATGACATATGTAGTCCTTTAGTTTTTGCTGTATTAATAATAATTCCATTATCGTGAGACCACTTAGTTATGTTGTTGAAATCACTTTGTATGTTTAATTCCATTATCGTGAGATCACTTAGTTATGTTGTTGAAATCACTTTGTATGTTTAATTCCATTATCGTGAGACCACTTAGTTATGTTGTTGAAATCACTTTGTATGTTTAATTCCATTATCGTGAGACCACTTAGTTATGTTGTTGAAATCACTTTGTATGTTTAATTACATTATCGTGAGACCACTTAGTTATGTTGTTGAAATCACTTTGTATGTTTAATTCCATTCTCGTGAGACCACTTAGTTATGTTGTTGAAATCACTTTGTATGTTTAATTCCATTGTCGTCAGACCACTTAGTTATGTTGTTGAAATCACTTTGTATGTTTAATTCCATTATCGTGAGACCACTTAGTTATGTTGTCGAAATCACTTTGTATGTTTAATTCCATTATCGTGAGATCACTTAGTTATGTTGTTGAAATCACTTTGTATGTTTTTCTCTATCTCATCTTGATTTTTGTCAGCATAAAGGATGCACATGTCATCCGCATACATAAAAACAGCACAATGTTCAATTACGTTACATATACGTTAACATACATTATATAGCCCACTGGTCAATAAACGGATCCAGTAGGTACACCTGACTTTACATTTTACTCTTTTCCCGTAATATTTTTAATGACTGTCACTATTTTCCTATTTTTCAAATAATTACTTAGCCACCTATTTATGGGACCGCGTATACCACATTCATCCATTGCTTTCAACAAGAGATTATGTTCTAAAGTGTCAAAAGCTTTTTTAAATCAATAAATATTCCTACTACATGTTTTCTTTCATTTAATCTCTTATTTATATAGTCTGTAAAACTAGTTATAGCTGTAGCTGTACTCCTATTTCTTCTAAATCCATGCTGATGGTCGCCTAATATAGAATTATTCTCTAAGAAATCAGTTATTTGCTGAACAATTACTTTTTCAACTAACTTATTTAAGACAGAAAGTATGGCAATCGGTCTGTAATTTTCATAACTTTTATGGCATCCTTGCTTATAAATGGGTCGAATTTTTGCCATTTAAGCCTATCTGGATATGTACCATTTTCTACACATAAATTGATAAAATTAGCAATTACAGGACTAATTTGGTCTTTGAAATATTTTAAATCTTGGGCTCTTATACCATCAACACCAGGAGCTTTTTCACACGACAACTCATTAATTAACTTTGCAATTTGGCCTGGAGCCGTTTTTCTAAATCTTATACTTACCAAGCTTTCATTAACATATTTACTTCTGTCAAAAAAATTAATATTACATTTATGGTTAACACTCCATTACGCGCGCCCCTGTTTGGAACGCGAGTGCTCGCGCGATCTACATATGTAGAACTATTTTGTGTAAAGATTTTACAGGAACAATAAACAAATATAAAAATACTTCAATATGATATGAAAACAAACTTTAATAAAAAATTAAAATAGACGAAACATAAATGTTACCTATCAGACTTCTTGTGAATTTTGAGAAAAATCAATGATTTTTTGGCATCAAACCTTCTCAGTCTCCTTTTTTTACTCGCTCATATCTTCCACACCGTCTTTATCATTTTTACAACAGTCAAGGCATTGAAGAACTTGATGTTGAGGACGAATCCACTTTTTACAGGTGTCACAATGTTTTCTAGTGGACCTATTGCACGCTCTGCCACAAAAGGAACATTTCCCGACTCGACCAGTGTTGGGGAGTTGTGCTGGGCATGGTTGTAATTCCGATGGCTCTTTCATGCCCAAAAGCATTTTCCCTTTCATTTTCAATGATTTTGGAATACTTTCAATATTTATTTTGCGTTGTACGCATGGCGCGACTAGGTGAAAACCATATTCAATTAAAAAATCCTTCCTGGCCTTATTTCTGTAGTCCTTGTTTATTGTATGTACAATATAACCGTTTATAGCACTTATATTCATTAAATTAAAAAAATGGTAAGTGGCCATCACCTAGAGTTTTTGGAGACGTCATAAATACTACAAATTTTGTCTACAATGTCCACGTCATATTTGGTATTGTTGTAAAAAGTTATTATTTCCGGCTTACGTTTGTTGTTTGTAAATCGATATGATCATCATAGTGCATAGTTGAGTATATAAGCACCACTTTCTTTGATTTTGGCATGTAAGATATTAAGTACCTCGTTTTTGAAAGCCAAAAATTGAACTCGTTTTGCTTCTGTATCTTGTGATTTTGAATTCTTTGGGAATTTTTGGCTTATCTTTCTTCACAGTGCCTACGACAGTAATTTTGCTACCTAAGACTTCTAAGCATTGAGGTATATTCGTGAACCAATTGTGCATTGTGACGTTATAACCTAAACCATCCAATGGGGTAAGCATTCGTTGCACAATGTCCACAACTTTATTTGATTGTGCATAAGGACCATCTGGCTGAGCACCTGCGTATATTTCCATATGGTAGGCATAAGGTACCTTTGTATCCGTTAGTAAAAATATGTTTATCCCATACTTTGCTGGTTGCTTCATCAGTAATAACTTCTTCCAACCATCTCAAAATATGTGCCATCATTGTGCGAAATATAGTTACTTCGGTTAAAAATAATATCATCAAACAAAAAAATTCATAATAACAATATTTATACATAATATAAACACTTACATAAAATAAAAACGATAAGTAAACTTCCGACAAAAATGACACGCGAGTGCTCACGCGCTCTACTATTGTAGAATTTTAGTTTTGGTGCTAAATTTCTAACAAGTGCGATCGCGCAGTTTGCCGGAAGGGTACTAATTGTGATCACCAGCTAGTAATAGAGGAATACTATGAGTGTGTGCGTTAGACACCCACAATTAATGTTAAAATCCCACGAAATGCATGTCTGTTCTACAATAGTAGAACGCGCGACTAATGGAGTGTTAATTATATCTATTTCTTGTGTAAATGTTTTAGAAAAGCCTGTACAAATAGAACTGATATCACTATTACTAGAAAAATTTTGTAATACAATATCATCCACACTTAATTTTTTTTCCCTATCCATTCATTAATATACATCCATTTTTTCCTCAAATCATTTCCACACTTAATAATTAACTCTTTTTTATAGTTATCCTTAGCTTGGTTAATACGTTTATTTAATTTATTTCTATATCTAGTATATTCTAACCGATCACATGTTTTGAGGAGCAGATTTCGACCTTTTAAAAAGTTCATCTCTTTTTTTAGACATTAGAATTAGTTCATTTGTAATCCATGGTTTATATCTATTATTTTTCTTCACTGTTTTATATTTTATAGCACATTTATATATCTCATCGAAAATTTCACACAATTTATCATAAAGTTTTAACGGACAGTTAATTGATAATAGGTTCGACCAAATAACTGCACTCTACTTTTCTCAACACTGCAATCCGTACCTACGTATGTTACGTGTCTTTATATCTCGACGTTGACGAATTTACTGTACCATGTAAAATGTTAATATTGACATCACCCGCCAGGATAACATCGGTCGTCGCTGGGACACCCCGCAATAATTCATCCAGCTCTTCCACAAATCTATTTTTATTAGTATATGGGGGCCTGTACACGACGAAAACGTATATAGGTCGATCATACTTAATTGTCATAAGGCCATCCAACACCTCACAAGATTGCCTGCTATATTCAGTAGGTGTACTAGTTATTGTATCTTTTACAAACATTAAAACTCCTCCCCCTCTTCTGCTATTTCTTGTATATGCATGCGCATTGTAGTCTGGTATGTAGTACAATGGTATTTCATATTCTTTTATATTTATTTCGGTTAATACTGTAATTTCTAGTTTATACTTTCCCGTTCACTCGGCTACCGATCTGATCAGATCATACAATACGTCGGCTCTGGTACGGGTCGAATTAGATCAGGTCGGATCAGAAGTACTGCCTTATGAAAAAACTATTTTTTCCTTTAAAACAAAACCAAAGACAATATGCAATAGATAATAGTATCAAAGACAAAGATATGCTCTTTTATTTTAAACCATAACCTGGCAATGTTTCTTAGAAAAAAAAAAAGAAATCACTCTGAACTTTCGGCGTTCCACGTGTCGTTTTGATGAAGGTGCTCTGTCTTTTTTATAGAATTTTATATTTGTGTCTGGACTAAAAACGAAAGTATTATACTTTTTTATATTCCTTGTAATATAGTGAACACGTAGATATATAATTTGTGGTATAAAAAGTGAAAAGTAAATTGCCAAAAGTACTTCAAAATCTGGAAGGCCCATTTTGGCGGTTGGGTCATAAATGTGTTATTTTTCAAATTCTCATTTATTTTTAGTGTAAAATGTAAGTAAAAATAGTTTTCTTACATATTTCAAATAACTTGACGTTGTATTACATATTACATAGACTGCATACACAGACTGCAGACTTCCCGGAGCGTCGTTGAACATGTACAGGATCGCCCCCGTCACTACATCAGATTTGATAGACCACAAATCCTCGCTAAAGAACACCGATTCCTTCCAAGGATGATTCGCGAGGCTATTGAAATCAAAAAACATCCTAATTTCAATAGAGAAGATGGCTGGGTGCTACCATCTGCTTGGGATCCAATAATAAATAAAATTAAATCCCAACCCAAGCATACAACTGCAAGACTCCATGATACCATAAGTTCATACTGTGTAGATCGGAACAAAAGTTAAATTTTAATCTATGGTAACCGCGGTTAACTATGACAGCTGGACGTTGAACATCTCAGTCCTTCCCGTGACCATGGGTGCTGTAAAGCTCTCGAAACGTCGGGTAAAAAAGTTAAATATACGCGATAAATTCCGTAAAAATTAGTATTATTTCAATGTGTAGTGTTCGCGTAAATATAAGAAATCATTATATAACAACTTATATCTTTTACACACTTCCTATGAAAGGCATATTTGCACTTTACACTCCACACTGTCTTCCTTGGTATTTGGTAAAAACTGTTTACACTTTTTGCATTGCAATTTCGGCATTTTGCTTTTAATTAGCCGAGCCAAACGTAGACTTGTCAAATTCTATTACGCAACAGACGTCTGTTCGCTGAGAGCGCGCGCGCAGACTGTTAGTATAACTACATAATCGTGTGAAATTTAGTTAAAAAAGTAGTTACCTGATTATTTGCGCGCGCGGAGACTGGCGGTGGTGGGATGACGACGCCGGGCGGCGGGATGGCGGCCGGCAGCGCGGCAGGAATGGCGGGGAGCGTGGTGGGCAGCGTGGCAGGCAGCGCGGGGGGCAGCGCGGTGGGCAGCGCTGCAGGGAGCGAGACCGGCAGCGTAGCCGGCAGCGGCAGCGCGCCTAGAGCAGCGGGGAGCGTGGCGGGGAGCGTGACAGGCAGCGCGGCGGGCAGCGTGACGGGCAGCGCGGCGGGCAGGTTGGGCAGCGCGGCCGCCAGCGTGGGCAGCGCTGCGGCAGGCGGCACGCCCAGCGCGTTCAGCTTGGTCAGTCCCAGCGCCACCGCGTTGCTCGCCACCGCGTCCATCGCCTGCCACATCGCACACACCACTCTCACTAAACCATTTGTTGTAATCATACGAGGCTTACTTTCTTTATAAGCCATTTTTAACACATTACTGAATTTTACATGGACACATCCAGACTCGAAACAATTTTGCCTATAAAATACTTGCAAATACTTTTTTTCGAGATTCGAATCCACGGAACCGTTAATTATATGATCGCTATTCTGATCATATACATTCCCTCACCATTAAAAAGAAGCGTATTGCCGTAACAAAATTGACAGGTAGCGAATGCTAAGTCCTTTATCATTGCTATAGAATTAGTATCATTTATCTTATTATCACACATAAAAATGAAGAAGAATGAACAAATAGTTGTTGCTGAATAATTGAACATGGCTCACCTGTATCTTGGCGGTGGCAGCGGCTGCAGTCACAGCGGCGGCGATGGACATGGGCACGTGCACGGTGCTAGCGTTGCGCACGTGACTCACCTGTATCTTGGCGGTGGCAGCGGCTGCAGTCACAGCGGCGGCAGTTGGCATGGGCACGTGCACGGTGCTGGCGTGGCGCACGTGAATCACCTGTATCTTGGTGGTGGCGGTGGCTGCAGCCACGGTGGTGGCGGTGAGCATGGGCACGTGCGCGGTGCTGGCGTGGCGCACGTGGCTCACTTGTATTTTGGCGGTGGCAGCGGCTGCAGCCACAGCGGCAGCAGTTGGCATGGGCACGTGCACGGTGCTGGCGTTGCGCACATGACTCACCTGTATCTTGGCGGTGGCAGCGGCTGCAGCCACAGCAGGGCAGGCACGGACGTGCGGCGTTGCTGGCAGCAGTTGGCATGGGCACGTGCACGGTGCTGGCGTTGCGCACATGCCTCACCTGTATCTTGGCGGTGGCAGCGGCTGCAGCCAAAGCAGCGACAGTTGGCATGGGCACGTGCACGGTGCTGGCGTTGCGCACATGACTCACCTGTATCTTGGCGGTGGCAGCGGCTGCAGCCAAAGCAGCGACAGTTGGCATGGGCACGTGCACGGTGCTGGCGTCGTCGCGCACGGGGCTCACCTGTATCTTGGCGGTGGCAGCGGCTGCAGCCACAGCGGCGGCAGTTGGCATGGGCACGTGCGCGGTGCTGGCGCCGGCAAGTGCGGCGGGCGGCGTGATAGCGCGTCCAACGCGCAGGTGCTGCCCGCCCAGGTCAAACAGGTTCATGGATGCAATGGCCTCCAGCGCGGCGGCTAACGTCGCGTACTCGATGAACCCGTAACCCTTGTGCTTGTGCGCTGAAGTGCCCTGCGCCAGCTTGCAGTACGTGATCGGACCGAACGCCTCGAACACGCTGCAATCATGCCAATGTCCACAGTTTCGATCACAATAATATTTCCATCCTTCTATTACAGCCTATAAAAATCCAGGCCTCTCCCACAGATTGCCTCACTGGGAAGATTTTGCCATAGTTGCCACGCTTGGCAGGCGGATCGACAACCGCATAGGCCTATTCCAAGGAATGCCACAAAGCATGGTCCTAAGCCACTTGCATCCATCAACTTTCTGCATGTCTTCCCAGGTTGGGTCCTGAGCCACCTGCATCTATCTACTCCGTCACTCCATCTAGTGGGGGGGTCGCCTTACACTTCGCCTGCTGGTACGAGGTTGCCATTCGACAACCTTTTATCCCCATCGGTTATCGGTTCTTCGAACTATTTGGCCGGCCCATTTCCACTATAGTCTACTAATCTGTTGGGCTATGTTGGTAACTTTGGTTCTACTGGGGATATCCTCATTTCAAAGTTTATCACGCAGAGTAACTACGAGCATAGCCCTCTCCATAGCTCGCTGAGTGACCTTGAGCTTCCTTATATGGCCAGCAGTGACAAACAACATCTCAGATCCATAAGTCATCATTGGCAACACGCACTGGTCGTACGTTCTTGTTTTCAAGTTTCGAAGTTATATCCGTCGATTGACCTCTCGATCGAAGTTGGACTTACCAACTCGGACTACTTGTCCAAAGTAAACATATTCGTCAACAACTTCGAGCTTAGCAACAACTACCAAGGTTGACATGGACGCTACACATGATCTTTGTTTTGTGCATGTTCATCTTAAAACCTATCCATTGGAAGAGGCACCATTAAGTTCTTTAAGCATAATGCTTAGGTCCTCCAGCGATGACTATATCGTCGGTAAATCGAAGGTGAGTGATGTATTTGCCATTGATGTTAATACCGTATCCTTTCTAGTCCAGTAGCATGGAAACGTCTTCCAATGCGGCGGTGAAGAGTTTCGGGGATATTACGCCACCCTATCTTACACCAGGCGTGTCTCACTCCACGGTTTAGCAATGAAAATATACCTACGCCGCGCGGTCACCTACAAGATCTCATCTATCAAGGATCTCCTAGGTGTGCGTTATTTGCAGTTAGCAGTGGCTGTAAATGACCGCCGGTACGACATACTCCGCCGAACGTTGAGTCCCGTGATTCCGTGAGGCGTCGAGGTCACCGGCCCCTAGGTGATTCTTGGCACTTTATGCGCTCCGAGCATCCTGTGCCTAGTCGCGTCATAAAGTGCCACCGTCGCACTTCCCCCAACCCTTTTGTTGACAAAAGGGGTAGGCAGTGCCCAGTGAGATTACGCCAATACGTTTATACCTCGCTATCCGCGTCGCGCTTCGTGCCGAACGGCTGGCATTTTTTAGACAGGGCCTTATAGATTACCTGACTGACTTAGGTAGGTTCTCAACATGTCCGATAAGGACAAGGGGGAGCCCCCACCTAAACCCAAACCCAGAAGACCACCCGACCGTCCTGGTGTACTTGACCGTCCAATCGCGTATCGCGATATCTTTGATCTTGAAAGGACTAGAGTAGTGTCCTCCTACTCACAGATCCCGACACGGAAACCCTCCTCACCGGGTAAGGAGCCCGCACCGAGGACCGCGCTCTCGCCCATCGTACCTGGAGGTATGACTGGGCGGGAACCATTCCCCCAACATCAGCGGGCCAAGAAGACCCTGAGAAGGCATACGCCTCCAGAGACAGCAGCATCCCTCCAGGAGAAGAGGCGATGCTTCGGTTCTTCCAACTCCTCGGATTACTCGTCATCCGAGGGAGAATCAGACCACCAACCAGGGAAGCCAATTAGGAGATCACCACCCAAATCGCCATTACCGATTAACCCCCCCCCCCAGGACACCGGAACAACACACCAGTATGGATGTTGCGGATCTGGAGCAGGGAGGAGAAGGTTCATACGGGTGGAGTGCCAACACGTATGCGACCCTAGCGCTGAGCACATCTGCCGGACACTCACCGTCCGCGCCTACCACCAACCCGTCAGGCCGGCCATCAGATGATGGTCAGAGGCCTTCGACCAGCTATGCCCAACTAGTAGCTGCCCCGGCAGTACCAAGGACTAAGATAGCCGAGACACCAAAGCCGCCGGAAGATTCGGCTAAGAGATATCCACCCATAGTAGCTGAGTGCTTGCCGGACTGGACGAAGCATTTCGAAGTGCTCAATAAGAAGTTGGGCCACCCACCGAATGCTCGTCCGTTCGGCAAGGGGGTTAGACTTACCCCCCAGAGTCCGGAAGAATTCCGGACGGTACAAAAGTACCTTATGGAAATGACCGAAAAAGTACCAGCTATGTCCTGGTACTGTTACACCCCCGAAGAGGACAAGCCCACGAAAGTGGGCATACGGGGACTACCAGTGGGCACGGATCCAACCGCGATAGAGGGGGGCTATCAGGGCCAAGGGGTTCCCGATTAGATACGTCAAAGGGATCCCCCCCCCCCGTAGAGGCAGACCTGGGTGCCTCTACTTCGCGCAGCTGGACCACCTGAGCCTGGAGCGCCTCAACGAGCTATATCAAGTCGACGAGCTCCTCTTCATGAGAGGAGTCGTCATAGAGGCCTGGCAAGGAAGAGCGGGCCCTTCACAGTGCCACCGCTGCCAGGCCTTTGGACATGCATCCACCAACTGCTTCAGGCCAGTGAAGTGTGTTCGCTGCGCCGGAGATCACATCGCCAGTAACTGCCCAAGGGGTAGAGATGAGGAACCGCGATGCGCGAACTGCGCCAAGAACCACACCGCTAATGATCGCCGCTGCCCAGTCCTGAGGAGGATTGCAAGGAAGCAGGGGATTACTCTACCGGAACTACTCCCAGAAGAGCCCAAGAGGGTCCCCCAAAGTCGTCCCAGGGCCGCGGTTCAGGAAGACGGGTGGACGACAGTCAGTGGAAAGGGAAGGCAACCTGCCCACCCACCACCCGTCACGGCACCCACAAAAACGGTGGTGCCCACCACCACCATATCAAAGGCAACCACCGGGGCGACTCTTCAGCCCCCCGCTAACGACGCCATAGAGCGACAAACCACTCAGTGGAGTAAGCGGGGGAGGAAAAAGAAGAAGAAGGTGCAGCCTCCTCCTCAGGCAGCAACCTCTACCCCAACCCCAGCGGTAACGATAGCCCAGGCGCAGGTTACCAAGGAGGTCAAGAAAGCCAGAATGGGTAGAGTGCCAGAAAGGGCTCTATCAGAAAATAGAGCCCGCTCTACATATAGAGCGCGCTCTACCCATACGCAAAGAGCAACAAACCAACTCCCGAGACCAGCGCCAACTCCTGCACAGGCACCCAGAACACCAACAGCCGGCTTCGAGACTGCTGATGCCATCCAACGTCTGGTTGGCATTGCAATCGAAGTCGGCAGCCAGGTCCTGGCAGACATCAGAGCCGGGACCGATCCTATCACAGCAGTCATGAAGGCGCTGGCGAACCTCCTGGCTCGGCACTATGGAGGAATCTAACCTGCGCCTCCTCTACTGGAACCCAGGTGGAATCCAGCAGAAGCTGCAAGAACTCCGCACCGTCGCCCAACAACAAGACGTACAGGTCATCTTGCTGGGAGAGACGAAACTTAATCCGAGCACACGCATAAAGCTGCCTAACTACCATCTGTATAGGAGGGACGAAGTCACTTCTCAAGGGGCCGCCTACAGAGGGACAGCGGTCCTAGTGAGAAGGGACATCGTCCATCAAGAACTAGACCTACCGGAATACCAGACTATGCGCTCTATCGGCATAAAAATGGAGGCGGCGGGCGAGGAACTTAGGATCTACGCAGCATACCGCCCGCCAGGGACTCCATTTTGCTCCTCAGACGTCCGGACGGTAATGGAAGGCGAAACACCGACCATCATCGCCGGGGACCTAAACGCCAAACACCCGGCGTGGGGATCTAGACTGATCAACCTGCCGGGTCATGCACTTTTCGAAGACGCCGAAAAACACGGCTACGACGTTTTAGGTCCCGAAGAACCCACTCATGTTCCGACGGATCCACGAAGTCGTCCGGATGTATTGGACATCGTGCTCGCTAAGAACATCAACTACCCGATAGTGGTAGAGGTGCTATACGACCTGGACTCACAGCACCTCCCGATCTTAATTACCCTTGGCCTAAAGGCGGTGACTACGCCGCCCAGAACAGTAAAGACACGTGTCGACTGGAGGCTCTTCCACAAACACCTGCAGGAGAGACCTCCAGCACACCACCCCTTAAACACAGCGGACGACGTAGAGGCCGCAGCTACTAACATGACAAAGGCGATTCAAGAGGCCCTCAACGCTGCCTCTACGATCGTCCCGATGTCCAGAAGGGATGATCTGCCGCGACACATCTGCGTGCAGATCAAGAGAAAAAGGGCTTTAAGGAGACTCTGGGCGCGTACTCGCTGCCCGAGAATCAAGACGAAATTGAACACCTTATCGGAGGAACTGTCGGTTGCAGTCCAGGCACACAGAGGAGATGCCTGGGAGCGGCGCATATGGAAGGCGGAAGAGCATGATGCGTCGCTCTATAAACTGAACCGACAGTCAACTAAGGCCAAACCTCCCGTTTGCCCGCTGACCAACAACGCAGGCGAACGTCGTTACGATGCCAAGGGTAGAGCGGATATCCTAGTAGAGCACTTCGAGGAGCAATTTATGCCGAACCCAGCAAGTGCGGAGTTCTTGGAGCTTCATGCCCAAAAGGAGAGTCGCGTACAGGAGTTCCTGTCGTCGCCCGCGCCGCCTCTTGCAGGAGAGTGGTTCATCTCCCCCCGCTGAACTGCGGTTGACAGCAACCCGCCTGCAACCGAGGAAGGCGCCGGGGCACGACGGGATTACCAACGCTGCACTGCGACAGCTGCCCCATAGAGTCCTAGTAGAGCTTGGTCGACTCTACAATGGGATACTGCCGACATCCCACTTCCCGGAGGACTGGAAGAAAGGCAAAGTAATCGTCTTGCCGAAACCCGGGAAGGACAGGCGTAGAGCTGCCAGATACAGGCCGATCACGCTGCTACCACACATAGCTAAACTGCTTGAAAGATTGTTGCTAAGACGCCTCCGCCCGTGCATCCAACTTCGGGCGGAGCAGCACGGATTCAGGAGGGGTCACTCTACAGCAACACAGCTGACCAGAGTGCTGCACCTGCTTGCGGCCGATTACAACCGTGGCCGCACTACGTTGGGCGTCTTTCTCGATATCGAGAAGGCGTTCGACAGGGTGTGGCATTCTGGACTACTTTATAAATTGCAAGAACAGACCAGTGTCCCTCCTGCTATGTTGCGGCTAGTGGCGTCTTTCCTGGCAGACAGGAAGTTCTACGTCTGCGTAGAGGGCGCCGAGTCCGCAACCAGAACCATCAGAGCCGGCGTTCCTCAGGGCAGCTGTTTGTCTCCAGTCCTGTACGCGGCTTATACCAACGACATCCCTACCCTGGCAGGAAGGCTGCAAGAATGGGAGGATGACGTGGAATTGGCGTTATATGCGGACGATAGCGCTTATTTCACCTCGTCCAGAAGAGCCCACATTGCCACTGCCAGAATGCAACGCCTCCTGGACCTGTTGCCACCATGGCTAGACGAGTGGAGGATGGTCGTCAACGTTGGTAAGACGACCGCTCTGCTCACTCGCCGCCTCAGGAACCTAACACCTCAATTAACCCTCAATGGCCAGCAGATCGCGTACGAGAAGGCCGTGAACTACCTTGGGTGCCGGATCGACCGGGCGCTGCGCATGACTGCGCACGTCGACCTCGTCGTCCGCAGAGCACGATGTGCGCGGGCGATGCTACGTCCGATCCTGGCATCCAAGTTACCACTTAACACCAAAGTGCGAATCTACAAGACCTATATCAGATCCATTATTATCACCTATGCTGCTCCGGCCTGGTACGCGCTTCTGAGCGAGCCTCTGAGGCTGCGACTGCAGGCCCAGCAAAATATGGCGTTAATAACCATCGTCGGTGCGGGTCGCTACGTCCGGAATGACGTCATAGCGGCCAACCTGAAGATCATCACCATCCAGGAGTTTGTGGCCCGGTTGGCGCGCGGACTGTTCGTCCGTGCAGACAACGGGCCACACACACATCTCAACAACCTAGCGCCGCTACACACTCGCCCTCCGGACGGGCGACCCTATCCAAAAGAACTCCTCTCTATATCGATTAGAGAGTCGAGTAACAACCCACAATGCCGCTGATAGGCCAACCTTGACTTTACTAGATAACCTCACTTTTTCGTAGTCTAACCGACTACGAAAAAATCTACCAATTACGGAAAATTCCGAAAACAACACCTACAACGCCATTAGAAGGCTCCCAGGACCGGTCCATAGTGGTGGACCGCGAGGACAACACGGGTAATGGGGGCATACCCCGAGGCCCGAAACCTCCATGTATCATGGTACATGAAGACAACATCAACATCAACCTACAAGAAGCTAATTCCGTGAGTTTGCCACTTGCGCACTTTTGATATTTGTTTTTGAGTTTTTATCCAAGTACGGCTCTCAAATAGCCAAAACTTAAATAACAATAAGAATGTCGACTTTTCATTCTTTACTGTTCCTAAGGATACCAAAAGGTAAGATATTATTATTTATAGGCAAATCTAGATATTTAGGTATCTAGTTACTGACGCCATAGTAACAGATTTATTATTTCATTAGCGACCCGAACATAGATTCGCAGTTTTAGAACTTTTGGCGTATAATGCCAATGATTTTAAAAAACGAGCAGCATAAGTAGACCTCCCAGTTACTAATGACTGCCTACTAATGCAAGATCAGAATAATTTACTGGTTATTAGTTTAGTACTTGGTCGATAAAAGAGATTGAAAATAGCAGCACTTCTTATCGCCACTCTTTCATTAATGCTGTCGCGTGTCGCATGTTTGAAAATAGCAAAAAATGTGAACGTGAAGTGGTGAAATTAAACATTTTGTATAATCAACTTTAATATAAGTAAAATGAGATCATGATTAATGTAGTCGAAGACAATTGATCATCATCATCATTACAGCCGTTATATGCAGTCGAGTTGAGAACCTCCACCTTTTTTTGAAGTCGGGTAAAAATGGTAAGTAGGCAAATTATCTGGGTTTCAGGGACGTACACGTTGTCTATCTGAGTACAGAACCTATATTAATCTTCCTCACATAGAAAAAAAAATGTTTTTATTATCACCAAATTACTATATTATGCATATATATTGCATACACCTCCGTTTATTCTACTACCAACTATAAAAATCAAATGATTCAATTTGTTTTCTCACAACACCTAACCGAGCAGGAGCGGCCAGCAAAGGTGCGTAACGCGCTAAGTGATACAGACACTCGCACGCGGACTTAAGGCGCATTTTGATTTAATATGCAACCCACATTAACTTTTTTTTTGCAAAGGGGCATGCAAAGTATTATAAACATTAGCGACGTTGCAACTGGGTTTAAGCTCTCAAGTTTGCTATCAGAGTGATCCTTCAGTTCTTGTACTATTATTTATTCTGTGCTTACACCTCTCTGCTGGTGTATAGGTTTCGTACTCCGGTTCTGTACTCGGATAGCCATCATAACCCTACTGTACAAACACTTCAGAACTTCGATATACCGATAGTCAACTTGCTACCGCTTAAGGGACTGCAGCAAAATTCCAGTCAAATTTCAACGGAGTCGAATGCTTTCTCATAGTCCACATACGCCAAGGCATAGTGGTAGATTGTACTCCTCGGTCTACTGTACAATTTGGGTATGTATGTAGTCTTTGGTACTAAAGCCTTGTCGAAAACCAGCTTGTTCGGGAGGCTGCAAGTCGTAAAGTCTGCGTGCGCGACGATTCGTACTGACTCTCGTTCAGTTTTATTGCCGATTAAATATAGATTATTAACTTTAAACCAATGCACTAATTTTGATATATCATAATTCACTTTGTCGTATTGAAATGATGAACACAAAAAAATATGTTTAATAAACGCAATCAACATCGGCGTCAATTGTCAAGAAACTCCTTGTAAAATCAAATTGATTTCCATGAAGCATTTTATTTATATTAAAACTTAACATTGGATGTAATTTTTTTTTTCAATAGTTTTACTAAAAATTGGTAGAACAAAAATTGGTCTAAAATATGCTGGATTTAATATACTACCAGATTCAAATGAAGGTATGACTTTAAAATGTTTCATTAAATAACGAAACATCAGATTCGACGCTTCTATTAAAAATAATGGCTAGATAAAATGCATTTGTAATTTTTATGGATGCCGTAACTTTAACAGAAATAAGTATGCAGTTTTCTTAACATCAATAGTCTTCAAATTTTTTACAATATATTTTGGCAATACTCTATAAATATTAACAGTTGATGGATTTAATGGGACCGAATGGAAGAAATGCTTGCCTGATAGTGTCTTAACACTATTAACTTAAAAAATACCATGAAATCATAAGCAAACACCTAGCTCCTGAATCTACCTGTAATATTATTAATTAAAAGAAAAATCTTACTTCTTAATATCATCCTCAGTGAGCTCTGGATGTATAGAAGCTACATAGATGCGGTTGTACTGCTTGGCCTCCTCCTGGATCTCGTCTATGACCGCCTGAGCTTGGGGCATGTTTGAGGGACGACCAACTACTTTTATATTTCTGAAACACAGAAAATCCTTCCTTTATAAAAACCTGTGTGAGAATATTTATATGTACAATAAAATGGAGATACACTCACCTGCCTCCAAGCATGACACCATTCATTTGCTCAAGACTGAGCTGTGCAGCTTCAGGAATTTCATATTCAACAAAAGCAAAACCCTTATGTTTCTGTGTGACTGGATCCCATGACATGTTGATGGATTTAATGGGACCGAACGGAAGAAATGCTTGCCTGATAGTGTCTTCTTTCAACTCAAATGATATGGATCCAACATACACCCTGTCGACAACATTTTTACAATATAATAAAAAAATTAGTATACATTTAGATATTGCTTTGACATATTTACAATCAGATCTTTTCAGCCATTTAATAATCAAGGGCTCAACCAGCCGAAGCGAGAGCCTCACAGTATCGCATTCATCATTGGAGTTTACAACAAGGTAAAATATTTTTAATATATTACATGCAAAGGAGAATATATTACAATAGCATTTCTTTTAAAAAGATATTTACATGAATTTTTATTGTTAAAGTTATATACTATAACAAGTTTCTTTCTTTGTTTTACTGACGGTTCTCTACTAAAGCTATACTTGAGAGGTACATTAGAAAAATTTAAACAAATTAAGTGTAAGTTCTTAAGATTATGTAAGGAATATTTACTATTGTATAGCTACCACAAACCAACTAAGAAGTTAGTGTTTTTGATATAATAAAAGAATGCACAATTAACTCAAAGTAGTAGTTTTAAATGTATATAACAACAACATACAAATTATATAAGATTATAAATGACAATGTCCTCCAGACCAAGTTTTGGTCACAGCGGCGAGTCTCAACAGAGACTGCCAGCTGTTCAGAACACGCACACTCTATTCCCTTACTCTCATAGTCCAGGTCTAATACGAGGGCTGCACTAAAATTATCGGGAATGGAATATTTCCACTGTTCCTGTCAATGTCTGTCTGTCAAAAAAAAATGTTGGCCATGTTTGTCTCCAAAACCGGCCATGTTACGACTATTCCTCTTGAGGGACAAGGAACGGTTAATGCAGAATGGTATGCTAGCATTTTTTTTGCCACAGGTCGTTTCTGAACTCCGTAAAGAGAACTGCAACCGCCGCATTATCCTCCATCACGACAATGCGAGTTCTCACACCGCACACAGAACAAAAGAGTTTTTAGAGCAAGAAAACATAGAATTATTAGACCATCCGCCGTACAGCCCCGACCTAAGCCCTAATGATTTCTATACTTTCCCTAAAATAAATAATAAATTGCGTGGTCAGAGATTTTCATCACCTGAAGAAGCTGTGGACGCCTACAAAATGGCCATTTTGGAGATCCCAACTTCCGAATGGAATGGTTGCTTCAATGATTGGTTCCATCGTATGGAAAAATGTGTCAAATTTCGCGGAGAATACTTCGAAAAGCAATAAATACATTTTTAAATAGTAATGGTGTGTCACTTCCTTGATTCCCGAGATTTTCATTGCCGCCCTCGTAGCTTTACGTGCTTTACGAAGCGAGGGTGAAAAATTTGCCAACTTCCAGCCTAGCTGCTACCGACAATTTCTAGACAGAAAAACCCAATAACAGATTTTGGCCCAACCCTGAATTTGAACCCAGGACCTCATGATCAGCAACTGCTATTACGAACACTAGATAGTTAAATGAAACTTTATGGTTTGAGGAGCAGACTTCTGGGAGTTGGAACACAGTTATGAGAGATCTGATGCCTGTGGGTAACAGACCTGCACATGAGCGCGAGAGCCTGCTGTCGTTGCACCTGTGTGCGCTGCGACGCCATCTGTTGTTGCTGATGGGCAAGTGTCTGCTTCATCAGAACCATCTTGATACTTTGCTCCATCGCGTACTTTTTCGCACGTGACACCGCCTCGCTTTGCTCGGACGACAGTCGCGGTAGAGACCCGCCCAGTATTGCTGGCAGTGTCGAACATTTTGCTCCTGGGCCTTGAAATACATAATTATGAAAATTTACACAATCAATAAGACCCATAATAAAAACAGATGTAATTAAAAATTCAATAACTTAATTAAAAAGTCATGACAATTAATAATTAGATCTTAGCAAACATGACCTTGAAGAATATACTAGCTAATCTATTTCATTTATATCTGACAAATTCAAAAAAAAGGTAGTTCACCTGTATACACATCCCCGACCTGCTGCAAATCGTACACCGGAGTGTTTAGGAAGCCACCTGTAATGCAAATCAACGGTCAGCTTAAGTCAGTCATAATAATGAGACTGCAGTGGACTCTCGCACTCGCCACTCGCTAACAAGCACATGCAACACCCTCACCATTGGTTCTAAAGAGTCTATGAAAATAAACCACACCCAAAAATCCACTCCAGACATTTAACTCCACATGATAGAGATCATTCATCACTCATCACTCAGAAAACAGTTTTTAGAGGTGGGGTCCATTCATACAACAAGCAGTCAGGGACGATGTGGAATAATGAAGTAGGTACATTGTGCGGACGGAGCGCTGCCGCCGGGCCGGCCAGGTGCGTCGCGGCAGACGCAAAAGCGTACCAAAAACCTAACTTATATATCTAGCCTGTAACAGAAAGCAGAACACTGATCACTGAGGGTACTCGAGAGCGAAGGCTGCGCCGCCGCCGCCGCGCCACCGGAGCCCTGCAACAGCGAGCACACGCCGGCGTTAGAGCGCTCTACACGCCTCCGCACTCCGCCCACTCACCCGCTCCAGCCTACTCACCCGCGCCCGCAGTCGCCGCTGAGCTCGCTTCTCCTCCCTGCAACTGACATAGCACTGGTCACTGCACGATCACAGCCTAACACATACACTTGCTTTGTTTCCATTTATCTTATATTTTAAGCATTTCAACCATTAAATAATGCTGTGATGAATTAACTATATTTTAATAATCAAAACAATAATATAATACAAATAATTGAACAATTTATACTATGAAATTTGGTTAAAATATTTGATAATAAAATAAAATTTTTATATTAACAGTCTTAATAAGATTGAAATCTCTCTCATAGAAGAAAAACTAACCATTTTGAATTATAGCTTTAGATAGTCATTATATACATTATTTAGGTTTTAATTATGTTGTTCAACACATATTATTTTAAAGAAAGGACATTTATTCACTTTTACTATATACATCATGAATAAAAAGAACATTACAAATGGGGGAAATAAAGACTATAAGTAGTAGTGTGTATTGAACCAGGGAAAAGGTGACTCAGTGTTGCAATGCTGTAGAGATATGTGCATAATCTGCCTGATTATGATGTTCTCATTTATATTATATAAATTAAAATAATTTAAATATAAAACGCATTTCTTAACTATAAAATGTCAGTTTTGTTGTTTTTGATGGTTTAATCAAACTACAAACAAACATTGTACTACTAGCAATGTGGTTATTTTATTATATGGTGAAACAAATATGCAATAATTACATGCCAAATTTATAATAACTATTCTAAAAAAGCTAATTTAATAATAGCTCTAAAGATTGGCACAAATGTAACAACTATATTAAGTGGTTAAAAATTTCATTGTGATATATCTGTAGTTAGGAGTAGGTCAGTTCACTTGCCTATTATTAAAGTACAATGAATCTTAGTAGTGATGCCTGCATAAAAATAGAAATTATTATTTTTAAGATATCATGGCTTTGAATTTTTATCTCTGACTTTTTATTCAAATATTTTTTATTTAATTTACTCTTTTCTTGGCCCTTTAATAAATCTTCCATGTTTCACAAACTTTTGACATTATTAACAAAGCGAGGCACTGATCTAAAGTGGACATAAAGGTAAATATAATTTAGTTATCATGGATATTTTCATAAATTCATAAACATTTTAAAGTTACATATTTATTCTTAGTCTATTTACTATAAGGTTTTCAAAATGGAAATATAAATGTACATATTAAAAAACAACTACTGCAATAGGCAATAATTGAGATACAATTTATTAAATATTAGGCTCACCTTTACATTAAATACCCAAAGGTAGCACTTTCAAATGACTACTGAAATATCTACTTTTTTAACCAATTATTATTAATGTTTCAGTACTCAGAAACTCATAGTTTTTGAGATAATTGCGAACAAAATTACTAATTTTCTTCAATAATATTGCTTGAATGACATATGCATACAAAAAATGTCAAATCATTCCATAAGTAATTTAGGTGTGTTCCAAAATAGAACTCAGTATACTGGTGTAATGCAAATGAATTGATGTCATAAATCGACACCATACTGGTGATTCGTTTTAAAACATTGGCCAGTATATGAAATCATACATTTGCACAATATTGGAAAAGTGTTGGTAATTATTTGTCAATTTGTGCTCCAAAAGTTATAATATTATGTTTCAATTAATTTGTGAAGAATTGAGATACCAGTAATAATTCTATAATTTTTTGTATTGGAATAAATAATTTTTGGCACATTTGTGGCATGCTTCATTCAGCATACACACAAATAAAAATTGCTTTAATATGGCGGGATATACGACAAAATATGGCAGCGGCACATCAGTACAATATGGTGTCAATTAATGATGTCATTTGTATTCGCCAGTTTACTGGGAACATTTCAGAACATAGCTTTTAAAACCTGCCAAGATACTATAACAAGGCGTTTAAGAAGTAAATATGCAGACCTAATATAACAACCTCCCTATAATAAAGATCTTATACATAAGAGAAATGTATATAACATGAGCATATTATTATAAACACATAAACTAAGAATTTAAAAAAAGGAGCCTTTTTTAAAAATAATTTAACGAAATGGTTACTGGAAAATTGTTTCTAGTCTAAAAGAATATTTAGAATGGAAAAATTGGTGGTCAAAATTAAAAATAAATAATATTACATTAGCTATAGAATAAATGTAAATTTTTGATATATAGAATATATCAAAAATATATAGAATATATCAAAAATTTTTTATATATGTACAACATGTAACATAATTAACGCACTTTGAAAAAGTAGTTTGTTCAGAATCGTTTACTGAATCAATTCCTATCATTTTTAATATAAGTAATTTTTTATCCCAAAAATTATTAAAACTACGTAAATCACAGTCACACTAAATCTGTACAGTCAAAACAAACTGAAATGGACCTTAACTTAAGGTAATAAGACTACAGTTTTATTTGTATTATTACTAATTCTGCCAAACCTAAGCATACCACTGCAAGACTTCATGATACTATAAGCTCGTTTTGCGTAAATCGGACCAAAAATTAATATTCAAAAACTGAAGGTAGCCAGACTAACTATGACATTGGGACGTCAAACATCTCAGTCCCCCCCGTGACCATGGTTGCTGTAAAGCACCCGAAACGTCGGGAATTAAAAATAAGTAAAAGTAGTGAAATAAACGCGATAAAATCCGTAAATTTAGTTTTATTCAATGTGTAGTGTTCGCGTAAATTTAAGAAATCATTATTACTAATTCTGTCATTCAATAAAAATAAAGAAAAATGAACTTTATTTCAAGCACATTAAAATCTTTGCATTTGTGGATTTGTACTGTGACCACAACATTCTTCCGGAATTAGTATAAATAATTTGATAAATAATCAGTGCATAAAAATGTTTAACTAAAAATTCAGTGTATGTATTATGATTATAACATAATATACTAATTGGGGTGTCTGAGGGTGTGCATTAATTACGTTACATATAATATATATCAAAACTATTTCCTGGCCAAAACTAATTTTGACCAACACATTCAAAAGTATTTTGATGAAAAAAAGTTTAGGCAAAAGTAGCGTTGATAGGCAAAAATATTGTTAATTAATTTGATTTAAATATATTGGTTAAAAGTAATTTATTTATGGACCAGGAATATTTAGTAAAAATAAGTATTTGATATTAAATAAAAAAGGTCATGGAAAATCATCAATCAACCATCAATTGGGTTGGCTATAGATATCCGGTACTTGATTTTGATAATGTTTTTAGTCTAGGAGGCTTGTTAGTGTTAAGCTTGAACCTATTACACTGTTTTTAGATGGCGGAAATGCGTTTTGAATAAATTACGATAAAAACATTTCACTAAAAATTGTGAAATAACGAAACGCAAATATGTCAATTTGTTCTCGTATTATGAAGTAGATGTCTGGTACTTGATTTTTAATTTTGTTTTCTATTTATGAGGATTCTCAGAGTTAAGCTTCAACCATTTACACTGTTTTTGGATTTCAGAAATGCCTTTTGAATTAATTACAATAAAAATAAATATCACTAAAAATTGCAATAACAAACTGCAAATATGTCAATTTGTTTTTTAACACAGATATACTCATAAAAAAGTTATTCACTCGGACCCAGACAATCCATTTGTGGCTGGAGATGGGACTTATATACAACAGATTGAGTCGCAGTGGAGAGCAGTCAAGGGGTTTTTCAGAAAACAAAATTATAACAATTCACATTACATTATTTCATTTACCACTATCATAGCAGAGTTTAGGGCAACCAGACTTTATAGATAAGATTTGTCAAATTGGTTCTAAAACAGAATTAGCACACCCCAACTCCACATAGTCTTGTCTGCCCTACCCCTAGAGTGTTTTTGTAAAGCCGTAGGCACGGAGGGAGAGCAGCCCCCGCCCGCTGTAGCAAATTGCAGGCACCTAAGTGAGCTGTAGTGGCTGAGGCTGGTCGCCAAAGGCGACCAATAAGCCGAAGCTGCGGAGGCGAGCATGGGTGCCTGTGATTTGCTACGCAAGGGCAAAGGGGCTGCACTTCCCGCAGTGCCGAAGCAGTTACAGATGCAACTTTGCGTGAATATTCCTGTATAAAAAAGTGAGGTTATGATTTAAAAAAAAAATATTATTCATAAACTATACATTTCTGCCATGGGGGAAGGGTAGGGGGGGCTGCCCAAGGCCCCCTCCCCTCCCCCTCCCAACACCGTACGGCCACTGCAGAACTAACTTTTTGTCAATATTCCTGTATAAAAAAGTGAGGTTAAAAATTTACAAAAAAAATATTAATCATAAACTATACATTTCCGCAACGGAGGAAGGGTAGGGTGGGGCTTACCATGGCCCCTCCCCCCACCCCCTCCAAACACCGAATGCGAGTACCGGATGTCTATAGTTTAACCCATCAATTTAATAACAATGTATTTTTTCTTAGCTAGTTTTTTGCAGGTCAGCATAACTAGATTAAAGACATGTACTTGTTGTTGGGAAAAGTAATATTGGGGACAGTAGGTTGGAGTGCAACTGGCAAACATCCAGTTCATCCTGCCAAGCTTAGGAAAAACTAGTTTAGCCAAGGATAAACTAATATGTCCTAAAAATTGTGTTTGGCCAGAAATTAAGTGCTTCATAGTATTTGATAAAAACTAGTTTGAACTGAAATTTTACAAAAATAAAATTGAGGGAGAGTTACAACATACACCTTCCCTCCTCCCTGTATATTTCAAAAAAATGTACAAAAATTACCACTGTAAGATTAGTTGGCGGGACACAAACCGCCTTGCATCGAATGACACTCCGAACACATAACCATAAAAAGAGTGTCTAAATTACCGTATTGTGTTAATTTATTTCGCATACGTTGCTTAAGTTTGAAAATATGCGATTTTTGTTTAACAGAATTGTTATTATTCTTTAAGATTCAATACAGTTCGAAAAATGGTCAAAATATATCACGAGTAGCATTATGAAGTTGTACAACTATAACTTACCAACTCCATTTTTGCTTATGCCTATAGAATTATTTCCCAAAATTTAGGAGGTGGACAATAATAGCTGAAACGTAATTTAGGTTAAGTCATTTAAAATTAGTTAAACACTTGCTTGAAATTGAAAATGAAGAAAGCGAAGCGTTACTTTCTATCACAATTCACAAATGTCAATGTCAAAATCAAAGAGAATAGAATTAAATCACTCGCCACAGTCTGTCATAATACTTATTAATTATGTTGATGTTGATGATCTGAGAATGAAATCGATTATTTGAGATTAAGGAATCGATTCTTAGATTGACCTGAAACACTGGACTGGAACCGCTTGTAAAGGGCTGATTCACGAAGAAGTCTTTTATCTAAGGCTTACTTTTACCCGTGGCTTCACTTGCATTTAATTATAAGCTGTCAACTTTTATTAGAGAAAATATTTTAATTAAAAGTTGCAGAACTCTGCTGCAATATACTTCTATAGACTATTATAAATAATTTGGTTTTAAATAATTTTGGATATTGGGCCCCAGAAATATGTTAGCAAACTATCCCCTTCTTTCAAGGTTTGATTTTCCTGGGATTTGACGATTGTGAAAATTCTACTGACAATTATATTCACATCACATTCTACTGACAATTATATTCACATTCATATATTCACATAAAAACTTTCATTACAATTTTGTAATAAAACACTATACTAAAACACTAGTAAGACACTAAAAAAATCCAAAAATCAACACAATAACATTCACGCGAAATGGCGTACGAAATTAATAATATAAACATGAACACTCACGCCTGTCACTCAGAGGGCTCACGATCCTGACATACCTCTTTCACCTCCTTTACATCCATATATCTACGCATACATGCTCGTCGGTTAAAGTACTTCTAACGTGGCCCATTTTCAAAATATCGCCAATTTGGTCGATAAACTTTTTTCTAGGGCGTCCCTTCCCGACTCGGCCGTTCACATCTGCCATATAAATTTGCTTTGTCACTCTTTCCTCATTCATTCTTTATACATGACCAAACCACCGAAGCATTCCTTTCTTAATCCTGGTCACAACATCATCTTGCATACCACATTTATCTCTTATCACGCAATTTCTCACCCTGTCATTCAGATTCAACCCTAGCATATTCCTTAAAGACCGCATTTCTACAGCATTTATTCTACTTTCGTGCTTCTTCTGCCACACCCAGCTTTCACTACCATACATTAAAGTAGGGACTAACACAGCATTATGAATTACCATACGTGCCTTTTTCGATACATTCTGGTTCTTCATAATAGAGTGTAGTGCCCCATTCACTCTATTCCCTGCATTTACTCGTCGTTCTATATCCCTATCATATCTACCATCCCTGCTAAATACACATCCCAAATACACAAACTCATCCACTTGCTCAATTAACTCTCCTTCTATTCTTATTTCACATACCGTTTTGGTTTGCGTTCACTTTCATTCCCCTTTCTTATAATTCCCAGTTCATTAATGTAACCATCAACTTTTGCAACTCGGCCGCCAATGACGCAAATATGACTTGATCATCGGCATAGAAAAGGCATTTGACGGTTAACTCGCCCATTCTTAACCCACATTCTTCATCTTTCAAAGTTTGCAAACACCTGTCCATAAATAGGTTGAACAGCCAAGGGGAACCTACATAGCCCTGTCTGACATCTTTTTGGATGCCAAACCAGTCCGAGTAGACCCCATTGATCCTGACACAAGCACTAGAGTCCCTATAAAGAGACCTTAATGCCTGTATCAAACCAGCGCTCAACCCATATGAGTTCAGTGTTTGCCATAATACATTCCTGTCCACTCTGTCATAAGCCTTTTCCAAGTCCATGAACGCACAAAAAACTTTCTGGTTTTTGGCCAAAAACTTATCCGCAATCATGCGCATGGAAAAGACTTGATCTGTACACCCCATTCCCTTTCTAAAACCCGCTTGCACATCCCAAATTTTTCCATCAGTTTCTTTCATAACTCTTTCAATTAACACCTTTACATACAGTTTACCCACAATACTAAGCAAGCTGATACCACGGTAGTTTTTGCAGTCCTGCTGTGACCCTTTTCCTTTATATATTGGTACTATAACTGCTTTACACCAGTCATCTGGTACCCGTTTTAATTCCCTACATAAATTAAACAAGGTGTACAGCAGGCCTGCCACCACTCCCTCTCCAGTCCTTAGCATCTCGAGTGATACTCTATCATATCCAGCTGCCTTACCTGCTTTCATGCTTTTCATTGCTTTCATTATTTCATCTACACTTATCTCCATACCCCTTTCCACTTCTTTCGGAATTTCTAGTTCATTTAATTCAGACGACTCTTCACTCATAAACATGCTTTCAAAGTATTCCTTCCATCTGTTTAAATTCGAAACTTCATCATTCAGAATACATCCATTCTCGTCTCTTATAGCATTAATTATAGGCTGTTTTGTATTTCCCCTGGCAGTTCTTACGAGTTTCCAGAACATTTTTATGTTTGCCTGGAAATTATCAGATATCCTTCTATCATTCTTATCCGTTCTTTCTTTCTTTTTCCTTTCAACAAATTCTTTTACTCTCTTATTTAAACGTCTAAATTCTGCCTTTTTTCTTTCAATCTCATCATTCATACCAGAAGAATTACCAGCTTTTGTTGCTAGTAAATCTAACCATGCTTTCTTCTTTGATTCAACTTCCACCCGTACCTCATCATCCCACCACAACGTATTACTTTTCCTTTCATTTGTTCTCTTACTTACACCACATACTTCGGTGGCGGCATCCACCAAACCTTTCTTAATATTATCCCACACAGTATTTAAGTCTAAATCATTCATACACAACTCATTCAAACATCTAATATTTTCTCTCGGTCTACATTTATACTTCTCTTTCACATCTTCATCTTGTAACTTTTCTATTCTTATACGCTGTAACGCAGTGGTAGACACAGATGTCCGATGCCGCCAACGCTTGAAAAGACCATTAATTCGACATAAGACTAAGTAATGATCTGTCCCTACGTTGAACCCCCGGTAAACCCTTGTATCTACCACTACGCTCCTCATTCTTTCACCCACAATTACGAAATCTATCACGCTTCTATCATCACCTCTTTCTCATGTACTTTCTTGGTTTTTCATGACAAAATTGTGGAGTTTTAAACAAGGCATCTAAATTGCCAATCACCAGATTGCAGTAAAAAGAAGACCGCGGCGTAATGAGCAGTCGGTAAACGGTGTGACAGAAAAAGCGATCATATTTTTTTACATAAATCGCAAGATCAAGCCTGCTTATAGAAAATCTATAACATTGGTAGTGGTGATTTTAGGTGGTTAAGCCATGTTGCAGCTATATTATGGTTGTGTCGGCTCGACCGGGAAAGGAACACGCTGTCACAGAATAGCAGCGTAAATTAAGCGCTCAATGATGCCGTGTTTTGTGTAATGATTGTAAATAACTGGAGACTCTTTTTACTAGAAACGAGGAATTCCAACTTTGTCCTCAGGGGTGTCTACGCATCTGCATTTTGATTTTTAATCGAGGATAGATGTAGTTGTCTATGAGCCAAAGTATCCACTTACCATCAGGTGGACTGTGGTGTGTTCGTTTGTCACCGGTATTCTATAAAATTTTTTTTTTTATTTGACACTGTCGCTGATGGACAACGATGCACAACTTCTGCTACTATTAGCACTATGGGAAAAGAAGAACCCAGATGAAGTTGTAAAGCAGTACTATTTACAGTAGCAGAATTTAAGCTCCGTTTTTTCTAAGATTTTGTGTGAAGTGACTATTTTCGACGTATTTCTATGTGAGTAAAAGCAAATTCGATGGTTTGCATTAAATTTGCCGCTAAAACACTAAAGATTCACGAATCGAAGGCAGACCATAAACTATGAGCAAATATTACTTTGACTACAAAAGGTTCTACGGGGGTAACAAAACCTGGTCCAATAAACATGTAAGCATCGAAACAAAATTTCATATGAATTATTATTTATTAATTATATTAAATATTTTTGTAGTAGAATAAGATTGGTATGCTATTTTTAATACATTTTTATTCAATATGTGAGAAAACCTTTAAAGGAATTAAAAGATGCATATCAAAAATAATACCTACCGATAGTTTTAGTAACACTCCTTATTAGTTTGTGGTTTTAGTGTGCAATAACACAAAAAAAATTGGTTGACCCTGGAGGTCATCTCTGGAACTTCCCGCTAATTTCAAATGCAAAGCGCTCCAAATTTCACCAAATTATGTAGCGAAATCTCGAAGTTATGATTAAAAAAAAAAGTTTTTTTTTCATATTTTGTCTCCTTCGATATCTCACGAACATATGAACTGATTTTTATTTTTCAAACGGCATTCGACGTCATTTTTTGAGGTTAAGAGCTGATTAGTTTTTGAAATTGATCGGTAAAAAGTTCTTGCAAAAAAACAGTTTTTCAAATTTTTTTTTTCCAGATTTCTAAAAAAAACTTGTCCGAATTAGTTTGTAATAGTGGAGACGAACTGTCCACTATTAACAGACTCCGAGTGGTTTTCTTTAAGGTGGAGAAATGAAACTACTGTTTATGTTTATGAATGTACTGTCGAATGGGATTCGGAATGGAATATCTTTTGCATCAACCTTGCCTATATTTATATGGCTGGCTCACTATTGATTTGCCAATGGTAACAATTAATATTTTGCCTAGCCAATTATATTGCTTATTTTATGACCAATGAAAACTATTTAAAATATACAATTATCTACGTTTCGTTTCCCGGCGTGAGACTTGTTTGTTGTTCACGAAGCTACGTCGCTGGACCGGGCTATATAAGACATGCAGATCGGTGCGCACGCGTAGTCGGCGGGCGGCGGCGGTGTGGAATACAGCTCCGGAACAGCAAGAGGAAACGAACTGCGGCGTTGAAGAAACGGCTCACCATTGGTCGACGGATACGTGACGATAGCGGCGTGTGAAGTCGGTGTGGCGCTGAATGATATTTGCGGCTGCTTCTTGTTTCTTTATAAGAACGT